GCCAAGTACCGGAACAAACTTGTGTCTGAAGTCGAGTCTATGCTGAACAAAGTCTCGGATTGGGAGTGACTAAATCTAGTCCAGTTTAATCCTCAGAAGACACAAGTTTGCGCGTTTAACGCTAAAAAGAACCCCTTTGTCGTATCTCCTCAGTTTCAAGGCACTCGCCTTCTTGCCTCAGCCAGTATCGGTATCCTGGGAGTCGACATATCGAGTGACGTGCAGTTTCGTGGTCACTTGGAAGAGAAGGCCAAATTGGCCTCTAAAAATCTTGGCGTGCTCAACAGAGCGGGACAGTATTTCATGCCGGCACACCGCCTTCAACTTTACAAGGCGCAGGTTCGGCCTCACATGGAATACTGTTCCCATCTCTGGGCAGGGGCTCCCCAGTGGCAGCTCCTTCCACTTGACCGCATCCAGCGCAGAGCGGCTCGAATCGTCGACGACTGAGCCCTTTCCGATCGGCTCGATTCATTGGCACTGCGAAGAGATGTTGCATCCCTTTGCATTTTCTTTCGCATCTACCATGGGGAGTGCTCTGAGGAATTGTTCGGATTAATCCCAGCCGCCAAATTTCACGAACGCACATCGCGGCAGAATTCCCGATACCATCCACACCATCTGGATGATTGGCGGTCCACCACTGTGCGATTTAGAAGATGTTTTCTTCCTCGCACGACTTCCTTGTGGAATCGATTACCATCAGCGATTTTTCCGGACCGATACGACTTAGGGACCTTCAAGAAAAGAGCGTACTCCTTTTTAAAAGGCCGGCAACGCATCTGCAATTCCCTCCCTGGTGTTGCAGTTGTTCATGGGCGGCGGTAGTCACTTACCATCAGGTGAGCCGCATGCTCGTTTGCCCCCTCTCCTATAAAAATAAAGAATGAGACTAGAAATGGTGTGGCTTATCAAGCCCGTACCGTTAACATGCACAGTACCAATAGCGAAAACCCGCTAATAACTATATATCGTTATAACGTTATATTGTTCGATTAATGGTAAATGTTCTATTAGTGTACGCAAATAGATACATTAATTTCAAAATAACATTTATAACTAGTGACCCGCTCTGTCTTGGCCTGGGTGGGATCTATTAATGTGGCGTTATTTAGACTTAAAAGAATAATTAAAGTCCATTTATTTTATCTAATCAATATTTCTATTTTAATCAAATCTCTAAATTTATCGGATAAAATTTAGTCTTGATCACTCCTGGTTTTACCATCTATTTCTTCGTGAAGTTTTATTACAATCGATTCAGCCATTCCGAAGATTAGCTCCGACAGAGAGACAAATGATTTTTTTTTACATAGTCACTCATGTCTCATGTGTACAAAAATATTATCGAACAAAATCAACAATAACTATGAAGAAAACTCAGAACGCGTCGTAGCTCACAAATTAGCAAAACCGGACTAAATGTTTTTTGAAGTTTACGGCATTTCGTTATCATTGATTCCAATGATAAGTTGGACTGAAGTTACAGAATGTACGAAAAACGCATATCGCAATGTATTTTTTTGCAGTCTTAACCGGCGGGTGTGAGTATAGATAGCGTCAGTGTGCGAACGAGAGGTAAATGGAGGCGACGCCATTTTCAATCCCATTCTTTAACAGCAGGGGTAGTATATACGAAACCACAGGTGCACTCTACATTCCCTCACTCTCATAGTGCAATGGGACGGTAAACCGATACAACCGGAGAGAGATCACACGCAGGACTAACGGCTTTACGTGCTTTCCAAGGTACGGGAGCTAGACACCGCCAACTTCCTGATTCCGGATTTGTAGCCGCTCACAGAGAATTTCTTAACGGAAAAATTCAAGAACTGATTTTTTTTTGCCCGAGCCGGATTCGATCCCGGGACCTCATGATCAGCAGTCGCGTTTACAGTCACTAGAGGAATGATGCAGTCGACACAATAATAACGGTCATGTTGTTTCGCATTTGATTACCAATGCAGGCCGTTTGCCCTCGTAAAATAAGCAGATCGGTCGAGGGACTAATCCGAATCTGTATCCGAGTTGTCGCTGTCACCGAGCGATATTGTTATAATGTGTACGTGAAATTGTTTTGCGCAAAACGCTATGGCTACTCCCCTCCGGTACGCTGGTAACAATAATTTTGAGTATTTTGAAAGCAGTCGCGGTTTCGGTTGGCACAACTTTTTTACTTTTTTCATGGCTTACAAGCATTTAAAGGTTTGTTAGAGTGGTCAAAGAGAGTATTAGATATCGATATTTAGTTTGTGTTTGTGTAGAAGATGAGCTATTTAGCATCTACACGGGGCACACATCTACACTGATGGACACTCGATCGAGTTCTTTCTGTTCATTCTGTTCATATGTTGCACCCCTTTGCACATTCTATCGCAACTACTACGGGGTGTGCTCGTAAGAATTGTTCGGACTGATACCAGCCGCTAAACTTCACCATTGCACATCGTCTCAAAACGTGACCGCAATACCATCTATATCATCAGTGTGAATTGCCAGAAGTTTTCTAACTTCTCTGTGGCATCGGCTACCACCAGCGATTTTTCCGGACGACGATATACGACTTCGCTGCTCTTTGGTCTGCCTAAACCGTCGGAGATTTGTTATGTCGTTGCAAGCATAATCATAACCCGTATTAATAAAATATCTTTATGATAAAAAAAATTTGCTTTATAATTATTATGTATCACAAAATTACTCAAAAGTATGATAATTACTTTGTGAATATAATATAAATTAACTTACCAATTTATTCTCCATAATAAAATAGATAAACATTAAAACTGATATAATGGCTGCGTAAGGGAATCCCCTACCCGTTACCCATATCATCCCGTGGGTTTCTTAAGAGGCAACAAATGGCAACGAAACAGTTGATGGACTGCGGCTTCTTCCTAATAACAACTAACAACAAATTAAATATATAAAAATTAAAAATTTTGTACAACCGACTTCAATATAAATTATAAAGTATAACTCAAAAACTATTGGTCAGACCTTGATCAAATTTATATGGGACCACATGAAACGCACCAGCTTTCAAATAAAAAAAAGAATCACCGAAATCGGTTCACCCAAAAAAAAGTTATAAAGAAAAAGAATATACAGTCGAATTGAGTACCTCCTCCTTTTTGAAGTCGTTAGAAAAAGCGGTTGTCAACCCGCCGGCTATCGTAGCAACTATGGCAAATATGAGGGAGTCTCTAATACGTAGTAGAGCCACGCTGCAGCTATACTATGGTAATGGTTGTAGAACGATTGGGTCGGTTCGATACAGAATACCAGCATAAAATCTCAGCTCAATACTGCTGTGTTTCGTATGGTGAGTGTAGAGAACCGGAGACCCTTTTTACTGGAAATTCCATCTTAGGCCTCAGAGGTGACAACGCATCTGCATTTTCTTTCTTAATAGAGGATAAATGTAGATGTCTATGGGCCACAGCATCCACTTACCATCAGGTGGACTGTGTGCTCGTTTGTCACCCATATTTCTTAAAAAAAAACTATGGGGTACGGGAAAGCCTATGTTCAGCTGTGGATTTTTGATGTGCTGTAATAAATGAATGAATGAACAAATATTAAAAAATGTATCATAAAATTTGTGCTTACATCATAATCTACAATATTAAATATCAATAACTTGTTGAAAAGTTCTTATAAACAACGAAGGTGATTCATGCTTGTGTTTTCCTTAATGGTACAAAATGATTGGCGCTTAAAAATATGTCCTTTCTGCTAATTGTTCTAACAGAGGTACTTTATTTATTAAATGTACGGCATAATAGTTTGATGAGGGGAGAATCCTGGAGAGCCACTTACAAAAGCAATTGATTATACAAGTAGCGTCAAGGCCACATAAATATTCAGCTGTAATAAGTAGTATAGCTCTGTAAAACGGTTTTGGTGATCAGTATCCAGTGAGCTTAACCCAGATATTCATTTGTTGGTTTTCATCTGAAGTATGTATTGCCATTATCTTATGTTAGTAACTTATTCAAGGTTTGCAAATTGTAAAAACTAAAAAGTAATAAGAGCGGAACAGCTATCCCTCGTCCGGTGGGTGTCGTAAAAAGGCGACAGAGGGAAACAAACTAGGAGATGGTAAGCAGCGTCTTCCTAATAATAATTCAAAATAAAAATAAACATGTTGCTAACCCGCTTGCCAAGCGTGGCACATACAGCCAAAATCTCTTTTATGGGGCAATCAACGTGGGAGCAGAAGAGACAAATAGATTTAGCTTCTCTATTGAACTGTAGCTATTTAATGAAATGTTTTTAATGAAATTTATTATGTGGTAGAGCCATGTTGCAGCTATTAGTAGTATAGTTGTAGCATGAATAGGTCGGCTCGACCGGGGAAGTACCACGCTCTCACAGAATACCAGCTTAAAATGTGCTCTATTATATTATATAGCCGCACCTTAACCTACTGTCGCTGATATTACAAGACAGGTGGAATGTTGTATTAGACGCATTGGCTGTATATCATTTAAGCCGTTAGTTGAACGGTTTAGTAAAATGGCTAGGCTGTTAACTGAAAGGCTAATTAAGGTAGTTGGTTGCGATATACACATGTAATGTTCTTTCAGTACCAAGAAAAACTAACTTACAAATCTTAGTAAGGTCTTTCTTTAATTTTTTTACTGTACTGTACCTGTAACTGTACACAAATAAAAAAAAAACTACAGATAGGTATTATATTGAGGACTACAAATGATACTGCATGATTCAATCTACAAATGATACTGCATGATGAATCACCAGGCCCACATCCCCGAAGTGTAGCAAAGGAGGAGAAACTTATATCTGCGAAATAAAAAAAACGAAGCCGAGGTCGTAATTTCTGGAGCCATGAAACCATCCTGGCATTTCCTAAAGTTACGTTTAATAATACGAGTAATGGATTATCTCGAACCTTCATACCTAGGGATACAAAATATTTGTAAAACTTATACGAATAGCAAGTTAGTGCAGAATATTAAATTACAACAAAATTGCAGGTGGTTGTACTTAGAGCCAATTTTGTGCAACGACGACAGTGAGCTTGGAGTGAGGTTTCGCAAAGTGGACCAGGGCTTCAGACAAGTAGCGCGTATACTTGACTCCGATCCACGTATTTCCGCTCTGCTGCAATCGACGAGACTTCAACCAACACTCGACTCCATATCGGAACAGCTTAATGCTTGCCAATCAGCACTAAACATATATATAGATGTAAGTACATTTAAGAGTTGATTATTATATTATACGAACTCGGCTTTGCAAAATTCGTAATTCAAATAATTAATATGCGAATGAAAATTAGTTTTATTAGTATAATATATTTAAATACATCTTGGATAAGTAGGTACAATATATTTAGCAACTATGTTATGTATTGTGTTCGTGATAAAAAGGATAGGTATGTAACAAAACTGAAGCACAAAACTCTCTTTATGTTGTGACTGCAGTGACATTCCAAAGATCTATTAAAAACTGGTTTTGGTAGCACTTGTGTCCTTGTGTCTGTATACTAAAGAAGAGGATGTCCTTCAGGGACTGATTTATAAACGCACAGCGTAAACCACTAGACGTAAGACAGTAGCTGGACTTTATGACGTAGGCATCCACTGAGAAAGGATTTTCAAAAATTAAACCTCTAAGAGGGACATATAGGTGTTACAATATGTATGAAACTTTTTATTTTACGACGCGATTGACTCAAACCTTACTGAAAAAACGAATAACTACACAGTTTGCGAACTTAATACATAGTTTGCGATTTTTCAAAACAACCCTCTTACGGAGGGGGGGGGGAGGGGAGGCAGGTATACAAATTTATATGTATGGAGAAAAAATAATCAATGGTTTTTTTAAATTAAAGTGGTGCAAATGCTTATGAGTTAAAATAATAAAATATTCATTTTCTTTTGAAACGAGGGTGCAAGCGGACTTAGAAACGTAAAATAGGTACAATAGGTTCCTTTTATTACGTACCTATGCATACACTAAGAGGGTAAAATAGTGTAAATTTTTTTATGAATTGGTTTTTATTTATGGAGGTTATTGATTCGATACTTACTGAATATATTTTAGATGAAAAAGTCTTTTGAATAGCGATGGGGTAGATGTACATACATTATACAATTAAATAACAAAATAAAAACACAAGATGATGACAGTTGAGGATAGTAGCATACCCAGATACTAGAAAGGATAGAAAGTATGATGGGAAATATTAAAAGTTGCAAGTACTTTAAGTAGATAGGTATTAGAAGGAAAAAAGAGAGTTGGAGAGTTTCACAAGCGTACAGCTGTACCTGGTCTTTAATCATCTTAAATCTACATAAAGCCATATTGATAGATTCTATCCAGGCGAAGCCAGAGTCGGTCGCTAGTCCATAATAAAAACTGCTGGACCTATTTCGATAAGTGCGCAATTAGGTTTTAATTACATAAATGTGAATCGAATGAAACCAATTTGACATCAATATCAAAAGACCTTGAACGTTGAAACGTGAAGCTATGTCAAAAGTGAAGCTATGGAAAATCGGAAGCATTACAAAGTTTTCCTACTGGAAAGTTTATAAGCTTAAATTCTTATGGAAATTTTTAGAATCTTAATATTATTGATCTCAGATGATAAATAAAATAATACCTATAAAAATGCAATTAAAATCTATCAATATACTTAGTTTTAGTTGTCACATTCCGTTAGTAAATGTGTGACATTCCGAATCATATAAAAGTCTATATCACCCATTATCAGACCTGAACTATTGCCGGCCTCTATTTCGGCAGACGAAGGCTAGTTTCATTTCTGCTGGCATCATTTTCCATCCATACTTTGCTAACCCGCTAGCAACTTCGTTAGAAACTTTCAAGAATTATTAACATTGAACATCTGAGAAAAACAAAATCACCATGCCACTCATAACGCACAAGTGTCACAATTTTAGGTGCTGAATTTTTTTTATGCCGATTGTAAAAAACGCAATTGAGATGTGAATATATAGATGTGTTGTCAATATCAAATGTAAAACACACAACTTGGCGCGACGACACGACGGGGTGCGACGGGGAGAATCTTCAAAAATGCGAGACGTCTGTAACAACGATAGTCAAAAGAAGAGGCCGGTTTCCAGCAGTATATGTAGTTACTTATTTGTGCCATAGAAACAACATCATCGTCGTACTTCTTAGAATAATAAATGTAATAAAAAACATTTAGTATAGGTAATTTAATTTATTGTTTACAGGAAAAGCGATCAGTTTTCCCCAGATTGTATTTCCTAAGCGATGATGACTTACTGGAATTGCTAGGACAGGCTAGAGACGGCGCCGACGGCAGGGAAATTGTAATACAATCGCATCTTAAAAAACTTTTTCCTGGTATAACTAGTGTGCGGCTTGGACCTTCCGGAATATCCATCACAGCGCTTTGTAGTCACTATGGGGAGATTTTTCAACTTGATCATCCCGTTGATATTGATTGTTCTGTGGAAGTAAGTCATCCAACTTTAATCAGAAAAAAATTGTCCATGTGATTGTTGGGACCATTTGGTTTGGAGATTATCTCGCGTATTTTAAAAGTTTAATTTAACTGAGTTTCATATAATTTTAGCCAACAATGTTTACTATGGCTTTGTTTAAATTTTTTCCTCAAGTTAGACTAATTTCTGAAAGTTTTATTTTACAGCTTTTGTAAGTTTACTGCTGGACGTAGGCTTTACCGAAAATGCGCCAGTTAGCATACTTTTTACGTGGTAGAGCCATGCTGCAGCTATATTATGGTTGTAGCACGAATTGGTCGGCTCGACCGGGGAAGGACTACGCTCTCACAGAATACCAGTGTAAAATAGCAGCTTAACGCTGCTGTGTTTCGTATGGTGAGTGTAGAGAACCGGAGACCCTTTTTACTGGAAACGAGGCATTCCATCTTGGTCCTTAGGGGTAACAACGCATCTGCATTTGATTCGTAATCGAGGATATATATATGTATATGTCTATGGGCCACAACAACCACTTATCATCTGGTGGACTGTGTGCTAGTTTTTCACCCTTTTCCTATAAATAAAAAAGTAAATAGGTAAATTGACCAATCCCTGTCATTTTTTATAAATACTGAGGTAGCCTTCCTTTTCTTCTTATACAAAAATAACTGCCACGTAAACCTTAAAATTGGTCAAAAAGGCATTCCATCTTAGTCCTCACGGGTGATAACGCATCTGCATTTTGATTCGTAATACAAGATAGATGTAGATGTCTATGGGCCACAGCAGCCACTTAACATCAGGTGACTTGTGTGCTCGTTTGTCACCCTTATCCTATAAAAAAAAGACTTGCCCATACTCAACACGCTTGGCAGGCGAGGGCAGAGCCAATCACAGAACAATAATACTCTCTATGAAGTCGATACCCTCGGACTAGAAATACCACTCTTCATTCCCAGTCAAATTAATGTTGCATTTTCCGCCATCAATTGGTAGTAAATACCAATTTGTGGCGTGTTTGGTATTTAGACAAAAAGTTGACATTCTCCGCTACACTAAAAAGTAGTTTATAAACCTTATAATTATTTTTAAAGAAGTATTCACCTAATGAAACTCTTCGATAGCTTGAGTCAATTTTTTTCATATAATTTAGTTTACATGTTAGCAAATACATAAAATTTAAATTTGAAGTAATTTTTATATCTTAAAACTGAGATCTGTCTTCGTTATGATGTCTTTCTTTGAATTTCTAATTCGCATTCTATACCAATTATAATATAATATTGTATAATCACCATAGGTATGGCTAAAGAATCTTGAAAGCGAGATACGCTCATCATTGAAAAATTTAACGCTAAAATGCATAGAGAATGACAACATACAGAGTCAGGATCCGTTTTCGCTACCTACGCAGATACTTTGCTTGGCGCAAAATATTCGTTTCACCGAGCAAGCTGAGAAAGCTATTTCCTCTAAGGAACTGTATAAATTAAAAGCAAATGTGGAAAAAGAAAACATGTATTACGCATCAGCTGAGGCCGAGGATGAGAGCGAGAAGCAGAAACGACAGGCTCTCATACTTCAATGCGCTCATTACGAATCCGTAGTTGAGACCTTGATTGAAAATAACGTTACTTCGACGAATGATTGGCTTTGGCAAAAGCAGCTCAGGTAAGTGTTTTTTTTTTGTAATTACAAATTCAGGCAGTCAGTGGAATGCCAAAAGATGATAATGATGATTCAGCCAGAAAGCTTAATCCAGAGTCACCCCAAACCCTAACATAATCCAAGTGAAATACTTTAGCTAAATGCCGGCATTCAATAATAATTGAATGCCTAAATAAAGCTTAACCAACGTCAACGTCAATCGCTAAATAACGATTTACAATAATTAAAAATTAAAAATTTTGTACAGCCGACTTCAATATAAGTTATTTAAGAATAACTCAAAAACTATTAGTCTGATCTTGATCAAATTCATATGGGACACGGGAACTATCAGCTTTTATATAAAAAAAGAATCATCGAAATCGGTTCACCCAGTACAAAGTTATGAGGTAACACACATAAAAAAAATACAGTCGAATTGAGTACCGTCTCCTTTTTGAAAGTCGGCAGAAAAGGCTGGTCAATGCTTTGAATTTACTTCTCAATTGATTTTTTCATTCACTGCCGAACAAAGGTCTCTCCATAGATTGCCTTAAAAGGGAGATATTTGTCATTGTTGCCAGTTGCCACGCTCGGTAGGCGGGATGGGTACCGCAGTTTTGTTAGCTTTTTTGCTCTCTGTCGCCTCTTACGTCACTCACGATACGATATGGGGTAGTGGATATTCGTAAACAGTAAAAACGAAATTAAATATAGTTTCCACCACCAAGTTGATGTTCAAAATTGAATTTCTTTGGATCACATCCAGAATATATAATTGGATATAAAATAATTAAAAATTAAAAATTTTGTACAGCCGACTTCAATATAAGTTATTAAGAATAAATCAAAAATTATTGGTTTGACCTGGATCAAATTCACATTGGACCACACGAGAAGTATCAGCTTTCATATAAAAAAGAATCATTGAAATCGGTTCACCCAGTAAAAAATTATGAGGTAACACACATAAAAAAAAACATACAGTCGAATTGAGTACCGTCTCCTTTTTGGAAGTCGGCAGACAAATGTACTTATTTTATAAGTTTATAACACAGACCTTGATTCTCTTTTCGAGTCCGAAACTAATTGTTCGTATTTGTATTGTGTTATTTTTTTTTCAGATTTTATTTGTTAAAAACAAAAGAAATAGTAGCGGAGATGGGACTGGCTCGAATATCATACTCGTACGAATACCTAGGCGTAAACACCGGACAGTTCGTACGGACGGAATTGGCTGACGAGTGTTTTCTAATATTGACTCAGGTAGGTACTAGATAGACATTAATTGTTATATATGAATTTATACTTACGTTTGCATTTAAAGGTTGAAGTTCTTTTCATTTAGGCATTCATTTATTTTATATATACTCCATAAATTCACTGTCCCGGTTTTGCCAAAAATGGGTATTTCTATCAAGAACTTTTCAGTAGCAGCCCGGAGTCAGTATGTCGAAGCACATAAACCCGTTGAAAAAGGTTACAAATGCGTTGTCACCACTAAAGGCTAAGATGGAATGCCTCTCGGTCTCGGACCGAAACACTGCAATTCATGCGCTGCTACTTTACGGTAGAAACAGAGATTGGACCTACCCACATAGACTGCTAAGTAATAAAACAGTTCTACCACCTAAGAAAGTAACCTGAGCTTGAGCTCACTCTCTAATTCTGTTCGGTGCAGATGACTAGTCTCCGTTGATACTTGCCGCCCTGAACGGAATTCAGGTTGAAAGATGTATTATAATTTTTTTAAATTAAATATTAAAAAAGACCTTAAGTAAATCCTATTTAAGTGACAGATAATTAACATCTAAACCATATTTGAAGAAAAAAATCCTTTAATATATCAAATTTCGAAGCTTATATCAAAAGTCCGAAGTACTGAAAACGTTAAAAAATTTAATACGAGCCGGATAATTATTGCATGACATATAACAACTCACGCGTTCTCAACAGTCGTTCTAGAACCATATAGTAAATTAAGAATTTTTTTAATTACATAACATTCATAAAAAAACATCTAACTTGTCCACTTCATGGTATATGGCTGCAGCAGCCTGACACCATAAACCAACTTGAAATAAAGAGAGCGGATACATCGTCACACTAAGAACTAAGCAAAGGTCGCAAAACAGGAAATATTTTATTGCTTTGCAGTTTAAACTTAATTCCCACCATATAAAGTTTTATCTCTATTGCAACAAGATAGTTTTAGGACCTTTTGAACAGTCTTTGTAATTCTAAAACCGAGTTTATTCTCAAGTCATAAAAGTTCATATTTGTATGTATTGCAATAATTTAAAATTCTTCCTGCTCCACAATCACGCCATATCAGCTCTTCGTATTTTTGCGATAGAAATAGGAATTGGAATGGAATTGTAAGATTGATACCACACCAACTCAAACTTCTAAACTAAAAATGGAGCACCTCACATGTGATTAAATGTGAGAAAATAGTAATAATAATGTATTACTTTTTTCAATGATATCCTCACTAGAACAAGAGAGAGCGGGTAATGGAACGGCCTTGTACCTCGAGAACCGACATACGATAAAGAATAAAGGTTCTCGAATGGCAGGCTCGTACCGATTACCAAAGTGTAGAGCGGTTCCCGCACTATCCATCTAGTAACGACTGAAATGTGGGAAGACGATGGATGCAGGTGGCTTAGGACCGTGTTTTGTGGCATTCCTTAGCTTTCCTAAGTCTACGTTCAGCAATGGACTTGTAAGAGGCTTCTAATGATGATGATGATGATAATGATAGTATACAAATATAGTATTACGTGGTAGAGCCACGCTGCAGCTATATGGTGGTTGTAGTACGAATGGGTCGGCTCAACTGGGGTAGGACCACGCTTTCACACAATACCAGCGTAAAATAGTGGCTTCACGCTGCTGTGTTTCGTATGGTGAGTGTAGAGAACCGGAGACCCTTTTTAATGGAAACGAGGCATTACATCTTAATCCTCAGGGGTGACAACGTATCTGCATTTGGATACTTAATTGAGGACAAATGTAGATGTCTATGGGCCACAGTATCCACTTACCATCAGGTGGGCTGTGTGCTCGTTTGTCACCCTATACTATATATAAAAAAAGTATTTATATAACTAGCTGGTATAAGAATATAATACTATCTATAATATAGCCTAATATGGAGTTTTCTTTTAAGTCCGTACATCTCGGTTTAATGGGTAATCCATTTGGCCCCGCTGGGACTGGAAAAACAGAATCCGTTAAAGCACTAGGCGGCTTGCTGGGGCGACTTGTGCTGGTGTTTAATTGCGACGAGGTATTTATTACTTTGTATTATTTGTATATTCCGTATAATACATGATATGCATTGCATGTTTGCTGACTATAATAAATGAGTATTATGGCCGATGTGCTTGCCTTTTTGGACTGGTAAAGCCGTTGGCCCAGTGCCCGTTACATCGGACTTTGACAGTGAGGGAATAGAGAGGGCATTTGTTGTTACGCATACACTCGAGCACTATAATAATGGCCTGATTGAAATTCGGTCTGGAGTACATTACTAATATCATTATTGACGTGGTGATGTAAGCGGTGCTCTTCCGGTTTAAGCTGCACGCAGAAAGTTTGCCATCGATCACCCTCCCACTTCCGTTGACCGCGTCCCCCGCCTGTTAACTCAGTATTACTTGCTAGTTGCTAGCAATGCTTAGACAAATATTCTGCGCGCGGGTTGTACATTGACTTAATCTACAGCTTTGTATTAGAGACTGAGTTTCCAATAATTTTGGATCGATTTCTTATACATGGCCCTCTTATACATGTCAACTATCCGCGGAACCTGTGGTTAAATAACAGCTGAAACCAATATTGTTTCTGACAAACAAATAGCTGGTTTTCGGGTGCAATTGTGTTGCGATTATCTCCATGTCTCTGTCTTTTAAAGTATGCACAGGTAAGATGGAACAAGGGAATGAGTATGAGTTAACAATTTGTGCCCTATTAGTAGACTGAAGTTATATGTACTATATCGTCTGGCTCATTGGAAAATTGTCGCCACGAACGTAATTGTCTAACGCGAACATCTTCATTAGTTCAGTCCACTTCTAGACATGGGTCTCTCCCGTTGTAGGGAGAATTTGCATTTATCGTCACGCTTGGCTTCCTTTTCTCCGTCCTACAGTTAACTCTGGCCACAGTCGCTGGTCTGGTTATTAATGTCGGGCGTAAACGAGATGCCTGTTTTGCCATCGACTGGAAGCCAAGTGCGAGTGTTGTAAAAAGCGGAATTTACCATAGTCGGCTCATACAACACCCATGGGATGAAATGAGATAAAACATATTTTTGGCCCACTTCTCTTTAGGGTTAGCTTCTCAATTAGACTTCTTTTTTGGTATGTATGTGAACCGATTTCAATGATTCTTTTTTTTTATTTAATAAGTTATATCTTAAGGGCGGTGTCATTGAAATTTACATAAAAAAGATAATGAAGTTTTTAATGTAACCGTTTAGACGACATTCCAGTTGTTACTTTGAGCTTCGGATATTGCTTAGTTTGGTTCACTCATAATTTAAAATAAAAAATTTTGTACAACCGGCTTCAATTTAAATTATTAAGAATAACCCAAAAACTATTGGTCAGATTTGATCTTGATGTATATGGGACCACACGAGAAGCACCAGCTTTCAAATGAAAAAGAATCATCGAAATCGGTTCACCTAGAAAAAAGTTATGAGGTAACACACATAAAAAAAAATATAGTCGAATTGAGTACCTCCTCCTTTTTGAAGTTGGTAGGAAAAGGTGAAAATCAAACTTTAAATAAAATATAAAATATCATATATTGAAAACCGACTGCAGGAACTAAGAATAATAAAATAAATTCCACATAATAGCTTTTGAAGCCGGGGATTTAAATATTCGATTCAAACTTTTTATATATAATTTACTATGTATCTTGACTGTCTCGTTGGTCTAGTGGTTGTAGTAGTACGACTGCTGATCGTGAGGTCCCGGGTTCGAGTCCCGAGTCGGGCCAAAAAAAAATCAGGAGCCTGGAGTCATGAAATTGACGTTGTCTCACCCCCGTGCCTCGGAAAGCACGTAATGCCGTTGGTCATGCGCCTGATCTCTCTCCGGTCGTGTCGGTTTACCGTCCCATTGGACTATGAGAATAAGAGAATAGAGAGTGCACCTGTGCTTGCGAATACACTCGGGCACTATAATCCTGTCCTGCGCCGATGGCTAGTCTCCGTTGAGACTGGCCGCCGTGACCGAAATTCGGTCTGGAGGACATTAGTATTATTATTATTATTATTACTATATATCGCAATAAAAGTTAAACCTACTGTCTCAGCACTGACTTATAACCTGTTTAATAAAAAAAGGGTCTAACATTGAATGAATGAATCGAATTTTGATTTAAAATGAACATCACCATGTTCATAATCGATAATTTTTTTAATAATTCATCCAGATCCTCTAAAACTATATTCCAGTTTGGGTCAAATGATTTTAAATAAGTGCATGTGAAGTAGGTAATGTGTTTTCAGTTTACAATTTATAGTCAAAGCCTAAAAATATATTTTCACGGTCCACGGTCAACATCACAAAAATACGTAGGCAATGGACGTCGAATGCATGGGACGGCTGCTAACGGGGCTGGCGCTTTCGGGCGCGTGGGGTTGCTTCGACGAGTTCAACCGGCTGTCGAGTGCCACGCTGGCCGCCGTGTCGCACCAGCTTGCGTCGCTGCTGGCTGCAATACGCCAGGGCTCCGACACTCAGCGCATCGCCCTTCTTAACGGAAAACAGGTAAGTTCGGATTCTTTTCCCACTGCTGCGGTACCGAAATGGTAGAACCTTAGAGTAAGGATATATATTTTATGGACCAAGTGATTATTATCAGGCATTATTGCTAATGGCTGGACAATATGAATAATGGCAAATATGAGTAGGCAACCTGATAGAAACTATTGAAATAATTAATTTGACCGGGCTTTATTAATAAAGCCCGTTACTTACTGGGCAGAGTAATGAAAAAATGGAAGTGTCTATTCATACGGACGGTTAATTTTTTTTATTTATACGGTTATCGTGCGATTTTTTCAACTCGTCCTATATAGGGTATGGGCTATGTCGGTCACTCTGGTTCTACTGCGGATATGCTCATTTCTGAGTTTATCACGCAGAGAAACTCCGAGCATAGCCCTCTCCATAGCTCGCTGAGCGACCTTGAGCTTCCTCATCCGGCCAGCAGTGAAGGACCACGTCTCAGTTCCGTATGTCATCACTGGCAACACGCACTGGTTGTACGGTCTCGTTTTCAAGTTTTGAGGTATACCTGACGAGAAGATGTGCCGTAATTTCCCGAACGCTGCCCAACCGAGTTGAATCCGTCGATTGACCTCTCGGTCGAAGTTGGACTTACCTAGTCGGACTATTTGTCCCAGGTAAACATACTCGTCAGCAACTTCGAGCTTAGTGCTCCCAACAACTACCGGCATAGGTGTGACATGGACATTAAACATGACCTTTGTTTTGTCCATGTTCATCTTAAGACCTATCCGTTGGGAAGCACTATTGAGGTCATTGAGCATAGTGCTTAGGTCCTCCAGCGATTCTGTCATAAGGACAATATCGTCGGCAAATCGAAGGTGAGTGATGTACTCGCCATTGATGTTGATACCGTATCCTTTCCAGTCCAGAAGCTTGAAAACGTCTTCCAATGCAGCGGTGAAGAGTTTCGGGGATATGATGTCACCCTGTCTTACACCTCTCTGCAATTGGATAGGTTTCGTACTCTCGTTCTGTACTCGGATAGCCATCGTAGCCCTACTGTACAAGCACTTCAGCACTTCGATATACCGACAGCCCAAATTTCGACGGAATCAAAGGCTTTCTCATAGTCCACATACGCCAGACGTAGTAAGTACGGATTGGTAAGCCGAAGTGGGAATGGGCCGGCCATATAGCTCGAAGAACCGACAACCGATGGGGAAGAAAGTTTCAGGCAGGCGAAGTTTTGGGCGTCCCCCCACTAGATGGAGTGACGACGTGGTAAGATATGCAGGAAGTTGATGGATGCAGGAGGCTCAGGACCGTGCTTTGTGGCATTCCTTGGGGAAGGCCTATGTTCAGCAGTGGACTTGTGAAGGGCTGTAATGATGATGATGATGATGTATAGGGTATTTTTGAAACGCTCCCGAAAACGAAGAGAAACGAATGTACCAACTATACCTTTGATGACGGGTGAAATATAAAATCGATCTTGATGAAAAAAAAGCTTCTTTTCACAACGTCTTATTAGCTTTATTCATAATCTAAAATGTTAGTACAGCTAAATGAAACGATAATTTCATTAAAAAAATCATGAAAATACTTAAGCATGACGTTAGACTACCCATATGGGTAGTAGATATTTTTACAGCACCACTACACGGTCTGTTCGCATTTTTTAAATATAATTAGGGTGACAAACGAGCACACATTCCACCTGATGGTGAGTGGATGTTGTGGTCCAGAGACATCTACATTCATCTTCGATTAAGAATCTAAATTCAGATGAGTTTTCACCCTTGAGGACTAAGAGGGAATGCCTCGTTTCAAGTAAAAAGAGTCCACCGTTCTTTACACTTATCATACGAAACACAGCAACAATAAGCTGATATTTTACGCTGATATCCTGTGAGAGCGTGGTCCTACTCCGGTCGAGCCGAACCATTCGTGCTACAACCACAATATAGTTGCAGCGTGGCTCTACCACGTACAAAACTTTACGCATATAGCGTTAGTAATAAAATTTTGTTTTAAAGTGTAACAAAGTGTTATAGGAAAGTGTGTGTCTAATACGTAGTAGAGTCATGTTGTAGCAATATTAATTGTATAGTTGTAGCACGAATGAGTCCGCTTGACCGGGGAAGGACCACACTCTCACAGAATACCAGCGTAAAATAGCAGATTAATTCTGCTGTGTTTCGTATGACAAGTGTAGAGAACCGAAGACCCTTTTTACTAGAAAATAGGTCTTCCATCTTAATCCTCACGACTGACAACGTATCTGCATTTTGTTTCGCAATCGAGGATAGATGTAGATGTGTATGGGCCACAGCAACCACTTACCATCAGGTGGACCGTGTGCTCGCTTGTCACCCTTAACCTATAAAGAATGTGTTTTGGGCGGAGTACGATGTGGGTGCGTGCAGGTGGCGGTGTCGGCGTGGTGCGGCGTGGCGGGCACGCTGAACCCGGCGGCGCGCGGCTACGGCGGGCGGCGCGCGCTGCCGGCGGCGCTGCGGCGCCTGGCGCTGGCCGCGAGCGCGCGCGCGCCGCCCGCCGCGCTGCTGGCGGCGCGCCTGCTCGCCGCGCGCTGCCTGCCCGCGCCAACACTCCTCGCACGCGACCTGCACGCAGTCTTTGATCTGGCGAGGCGAGTCCTTTTAATGCTTAACTAGCTGTTCCCCGCGACTTCATCCTCGTGGAATTTATTACGATTCCATATCATGGGTTTTAATTTTTTTGCGCGAAACCCATTTTTAAAAATAAAGTAGCCTAAGTTACTCTTTATAACATCAGCTATCTTACAATAAAAGCCGCGTAAAAATTGGTCAAGCCATTTCGGAGATTAGCCGCAACTAACAGACAGACAGTCAAAATTTTAAAAATTGTGTTTATGTCATAAGTACCGTATATACTTTCATATGCATTTAATTAAAAGCTGTTATTTTGACATCACAAACAGACACTTCAATTTTATTTATTTGTATAGATAGTGTTAGGCTTTGACAAACTTGAAGTTTTTTTAAAAAACGCGTGGAATAATTTAAAATTAAAAATTTTGTACAGCCGACTTCAATATAATTTATTAAGAATAACTCAAAAACTATTGGTCTGACCTTGAGTTTTTCGAGTTAAGTCACTGCACTTCTAAGTTGCATATTCCGTACTAACGGCACGTGAACACTTGGCAAGTTTTAACAGTCAATAAATTACGCATAATCTGATGTTAATACTTCATATTATATGATATGATATTACACAACGTTTAACGAGATAAAAATATACATACCTACTAGCTTAAAATTGAACTTTATTAGTTGTATTATATTTCGAAGTAATTGGAAATAAAGAAGAATAGAAATGAGTTGGGGGGTGACTCGAACTTTAGACCTAGTCAGTTTGAATAGCCTATCATGTAGAGGAGGTCATGAGGGTCATGGTTGAATGGGGGCAATAAGTTCTCATTACACTCCTAAGGGGTCAAAATGGCCAAAAACCAAAAATTGGGGGGTGGCTCAAACTTTAGGCATATCCAGTTTCAATAGTCTATCATGTAGATTATGTCATGGGAGTCATGATTGAATATGGGCAAAAAGTTCTAACTACACTCTTAGGGGATCAAAATGGCCAAAAACCAAAAAAGGGGTGGCTCGAACTTTAGGCATAGTCAATTTGAATAGCATATCATGTAGAAGATGTCATGGGGGTCATGGTTGAATAGGGACAAAAAGTTCTCATTACACTGTTAGGGGGTCATAATAGCCAAAAAACAAAAAAAATTAAAATTCTTATTTCGGCTATAACTCTGCCTCCTACGGATATTCTTACGCAGTATTTACTTCCCGCATCCCACTTGCTATTCATTATTTAAATATTTCCATACCATCCAGATTAAAATTTGCAGGTGGCCGTGGTTAACTATCCGTAAAAACGTAGTCTCGCAACAGCTACCTACTACTAACTAGCGGGACCGATTTTGATGTAATTTTTTGTGTGTTTGAGTGGGTCCCTGGATGGTTTAGATTTAAAATTGAACATTTTTTATATTTATGTTTCTGAGATATATTGCTCAAAGGTTATGAGATTTTGTAATTTTCTATATCGTTTTCTACGACACCATCGTGACAAGACATTTAAAAATTAAGGCCAAATCAAACATTGCCAAAGTATCATTTGAATAAAATAATATTTTGTTAATTTACCACGAGATTGCTAATAAAGGAAAATTTCGTAAGGATATGTTTGAGAAATTAAGAAAACATTTTGAGAACATGTGGTGGAGTCCTCAAACATGCATTAAAGCAGCGCAGTGGAACATTCCCTGCGTCATAATCCTTGTCGAAACCACAATTAGAGGCCTATATCCCAGCAGAGCGACGTATGTTGTTATTTTAATAGAAGGGGAGAGTAAGTAGTAATTGCGACGGTGTTGCAGCAATCTGTTGAGCGGGCAGCGGCACTACGACTGGGGGCTGCGTGCGCTGAAGGCGGCCGTCGGCAGCTGCGGCGCGCTGCGCGCCGGCCCCGAGCCGCAGCTGCGCGCCGCGCTGCGCCGCCTGCTGCGCCTCAACAACACCTCCAAGCTCACCCAACACGACGCGCAAACGTTGGTCATCTCACCACCTCACCACACATCACACACACGCGCATTTAAAATACCCGCAAACAATATTTATTTCCTGCTTTCACACAAAAAACGCGCTCAGACGTGGAGTTGCAGACACCAGCGCGGCTTAATCAATCTATCAATACCTCCAAATTTGCCAAACATTACACAATGGTTTCTTAAACCTAGAAAATATTCAAACTCACTAATCATGACACAAAGTTTGTCACACTTGCAACACCACACTCATCAAATGTGTCACAAAGGTTTGTCGCACTTACTACACCCCCAAAGTCACCAATATGATACAATAATAATTGAAATTAAACACGATAAATTCAATTCAGGTGAGATTGTCACCTCGCCTCCTTCACATCTATATACCGTATACTTACGCATACATGCTTGGCAATCAAGAGTTCTCTCAATTGGACCAATCTCCTATATATCGCCAATTTGGTCGATAAACTTCCGTCTAGTACGTCCCTTACTGGCTCTGCCATTCACTTCTGCAACATAAATTGCTTTGTCACTCTTTCCTCATTCATTCTTTCTATATGACCAAACCACCGAAGAATTCCTTTCTTATTACTGGTCACAACATCAACTTACAAACCACAGTTTACTCTTGTCACACAATTTCTCACCCTGTCATTTATATTCAGCCCTAAAATACTCCTTAATGACCGCATTTTAACAGCATTTATCCTACTCTCGTACTTTTTCTGTCACACCCAACTTTCACTAACATACATTAAGGTAGGTAAGTGCGTTGTCAGAATGTGCCATACGTGCCTCTTATGACACATTCTGATTTCTGACTTCCCACAAAAGAGTGAAAAGTCCCATTTACTTTATGCCCTACGTCGTCGTATATCCTCGTTATATCCCTGCTAAATACACATCCTAAATACACCAACTTATCCACTTGCTCAACCAACTCCTTTTTCAGGAATATCGATATTATTGCACGCAGGCACGCACGCATGCACGCACGCACGTACGCATGCACGCACTCTTTCCAAGTCCATGAATGCACAGAAAACTTTTTTTTTAGCCAAAAACTTCACCGTGATCATGGACAAAGAAAAGACCCTATTCCCTTTCTAAATCTACACACACAGATCGGGTGTTCTATTCCCTTTCTAAATCTAGTTTGCACATTCGAAATTATTCCGTCAGTTTCTTTCTTATCTCTTTAAATCAACATCTTCGCAAACAGTTTCTCAATGCCACGGTAGCTTTTACAGTCCTGCTGTGACCCTTTTCCCTTATAAATTGGGACTTAACGGCTTTGCACCAGTCTCCTGGTACTCGCTATATATCTGCGAAGCAACATTACTTTAAAAATAATATAGTTATGTAAAATTTTATACAGTATCATTACGTGAGTGTTTTAACAGACGACAGAGGGAAACAAAAAGAGAAGGTGAGCAGCAGCATCTTTCTAATAACAACTGAAAATAAAATATGATAAGATATGACAACTATGGCAAAATTCACGCTGAGGCAATCTATGGGAGAGGTCTATGTTCAGCAGACTTTTGATAGGCCGTAACGAATGAATAAATGAATATATATTATATACAATGCGACGTAGTAGCTCAAGACCTAGCTCTGTTTTGAACCCCGCCGATACCGTGTGATACGTGTTCGGTGGTGAAGTAAAACATTGTGAGAAAACCAGCATATACGAGAAATTAAAAAAATATTTCGAAACATTATTTAAAGTCCGTCCAAATCATACCTTAAAAATAAGAATCTTAGAAATAAGAGGCGACCAGCGCACCGCAAGGGAGCATAAAACGGCTGTAACTTAAATACAACAATTCTCGATATTACATTTATGTTTCACTTTTATAGATTTGAGAACATATTGTCGTTGGTATTCGCCGGGGTGCCAGAGGAGGAGTCAACAGTCGATCTTATTTGCACTGCTTTGGAATCCTCAGTTCAGGAGCTCGGGCTGTTTTATAACAAAGATCAGGTTAAGTAACTTTACACTCTTAATCCATTTCAGTTCCAGCGTTCAAGATTGATTTTAATTTGGTTCAAAACAATATGAATGTACAGCAAAGTAAACAAAAAATATATGAATTAACGCGTAGCATGACATTATTATTAAAATTAGACAAAAATGCTGAGTAGGTAATCTTTCCATCACATATTTACGTGGTAGAACTGCATTACGTCGTATTATAGCTGCAGCTCGATTAGGAAGGAACACGGGCTCACAGAATACCAGCGTAATGCTAACTAGCGAAATAGCAGCGTAGGCTGCTGTTGCGTTTTATGAGCGACTCAAACCGGGGAACTTATTTTATTGGTAACGGGGATTCCATCATAGTCCTCAGAGGTGATAACGCATTTGCATTTTGATTCTTAATCGGGGATAGATGTAGGTGTCTATGGGCCACAGCATCCACTTACCATCAGGTGAACTGTGTGCTCGTTTGTCGCCTTTACTTAAAAAAGTCTGAGTTTTCTTTCCTGAATTTGATTACATATAAAAATATTGTGTTATCGTAGAAACAGACTATTTCTTGTATACTCTACTAGTAAATAATTTATTGTTCTTAAGCGCGCATGCTCATATCACTTTCCCAATTGTGACCAAGTGTGTGCAGACTTTATTACAGAGCTACTTCAAATTGATTACTTTTTAGGATTACTTAACAATTTACTAATTTGAAAAATATATTCATCTTATATTTATTTGTTCATAACACTAATGTCACATTTTCTTGAAAATATATTACTGTTATTTTAAATAATGTTACAATAACAAATAAAAATACTACAGATCCAAAAATGTATGCAGCTATATGAGCAGATGCGACAAAGAATGGGTGTTGCAATAGTTGGCCCTCCCGGCTCTGGAAAATCTACTATTAGGCGTTTGCTTAAAACTGTAAGTACTATATTTTTTTTAAAGTTCCTTGGATATAATATGTAATACTAACTGTGCGTTTTTGTCGGAAATTTTCACGGACGTGCGCAAACTACACACCAAAGTTTCATCATGATTAGATTAATGGTAAACAAATAAACACGTCTTAATTTTATATTTGAATATAACCTAATAAAATATCTAAAACAATTTATATTGTAGGTTTTGACATTTAATGTATTTTAATTATCTCCGTGCTTCTCACACTAACTGAATATAGGTCTGGTACGAGTATATCGAGTGAATGTCTATGTTCGCGTTTACATTTGTAACATTGTAATGTTATATCCTGCACAGTTTATAATAATTGTCTGCTGTATTTTAAAATTGTCTCCGTGATTGAATTTGACCAGAAGTTTACAATGTCAATATGAACAGCTTCATTTCCAGTCGAAATATGATCCTTGGTAATTTTGACGTTTGCACCCGTCATAAATTACATGATAAATAAGGAATACAGTTTATGCCACTGGTACGGAATTGTGAATTTCGAATGTAATAGAGATTACAATAAAACTCGATTCACCATTGTAGGTACATATACAAAGCGTGTGTCAATAATAGCAGCTGTGGCTGGTAATCTAAAAATGTTATAGTTCATTCAATTGCTCGTTAAAGTATATATAAAGTAGTTATAATGTATTATTTATTAATGTATTATGGAATATTTAATATATTCCATAGGCGCTCACACAGCAAGGAAAGAACGTGGTGGAGTATGTAATATACCCAAAAGCGATGAGCCGCGACTGCCTGCTGGGACACATCGACCACGATACGAGACAGTGGAGCGACGGAGTTATATCTACCGTCGCTCTTGAGGTCTCCAATCAACCTGATGGTACGTACTTATTTGACGTTAATGTGGTAATTGATATATTTAATAACCGTCAAGTCTATTTAAGTATAATAAAAACAAGGAAAGGGATATGTCTATTATGAGACGTATAATGTTACTATGAAATGTAAATACTATGCAATGTTATTCCCTATCTACTTGATAGTCACGTCATAGTGACAAGATTATTGTGACTAGCCAATATCAATATCAATAGTCTGTCGGCCTTACGTGTTAGAGGTCTTTGTTATAAGTGAAAACCATGTCCATAGACCAGAGGCTAAACGTTCGCCATGAATATTATAATACACGAGCAACCCGGGTTCGAATCACGCTGGTATCAATGAAATTGTTAATTGCAATTTTAAGTGCTGATTTACCGCGTGCTTCGTGGTGAAGGAAATTATCAAGAAGAAACAATGTAATGGTAGAAGATATGTAGGTATATGTAAGGAATAAGATGATGTATATTAATGTGTACGTGTCAGATGTGTGGTCGTGGGTGGTGTGCGACGGGGACGTGGAGCCGGAGTGGGTGGAGGCGCTGAACTCGGTGCTGGACGACAACCGGCTGCTGACGCTGCCGTCGGGCGGCCGCGTGCACCTCGCCGCGCGCGTCAACTTCCTCTTCGAGACCCACAGCCTGCACCACGCCTCGCCCGCCACTGTCTCTCGCTTGGGAATCATACTGCTCAGGTGATCTCAACAACAACTCGGTGCTGGACGACAACCGGCTGCTGACGCTGCCGTCGGGCGGCCGCGTGCACCTCGCCGCGCGCGTCAACTTCCTCTTCGAGACCCACAGCCTGCACCACGCCTCGCCCGCCACTGTCTCTCGCTTGGGAATCATACTGCTCAGGTGATCTCAACAACAACTCGCTGCTGGACGACAACCGGCTTCTGACGCTGCCGTCGGGCGGCCGCGTGCACCTCGCCGCGCGCGTCAACTTCCTCTTCGAGACCCACAGCCTGCACCACGCCTCGCCCGCCACTGTCTCTCGCTTGGGAATCATACTGCTCAGGTGATCTCAACAACAACTCGGTGCTGGACGACAACCGGCTGCTGACGCTGCCGTCGGGCGGCCGCGTGCACCTCGCCGCGCGCGTCAACTTCCTCTTCGAGACCCACAGCCTGCACCACGCCTCGCCCGCCACTGTCTCTCGCTTGGGAATCATACTGCTCAGGTGATCGCAAAAACGAACCGTGTAATTCTACATCTAATGATTTTATTATTTTTAACACCTCGTTGTTACCGAACTTTGTACACAATACTCTGTCAAATATAATAATAGAAATCACTGAGTAAGCTAGTTAAAACATCTATATTGTAAATCAGTTTATCAGCCCTATACTTTAGATTTTAGATACTCTGTATGTTAGACACTATATCCCTTTTGTAATTCAAACAAGAATAATCAGGAATCAAGGATAAAATTAGACCTACCTGATTCTAAATGGTTGCTATAACCCAAGGATACCTACATCTTTCATAGTTTAAGAATCAAAATGCAGATGCTTTGTCATTCCCAAGAAAAAAGATGGAATGCCTCGTTACCAGTACAGGCATCCCTGGTCTCGATGTCTCGCAGGAAACGGTATTATCATAGTTTAAAGACAGTATACAGTTTGGAAACGCCATTGATGTCAGCCGATGCCGCCTCCTGTATAGGTCCTATTTACTATATACGCCGTCGTCGCAAATATGCTGGGGCTTGTCACATAATTAAGAATAAAATAATTTTGGTTTATTAACATTATATACATACTTATAACCCGTGTAGTGGCGGGAAAGAATACTCACTACCCCATATCTTCCCGTGGGTGTCGTAAGAGGCGACAGAGGGAAACTGAGGCAGAAGATGGGAAGAAGCATCTTACTGATAACAGCAAAAAAACATTAAAAAAGTGCGGTTGTCAACCCGCTCGCCAAGCGTGACAACTATGGCAATATACCCCCCATGATAGTAACGAAGAGATGACCCGCAGTCCCCGGCGGCCCCGCTATTCCTGGCTACGGTGGCGACCATGGTAACGGCGGGGCAGGGGGTGCTAAGAATCTCCGGTGGAGGTTCGGTTGCCACCTACGACGCCTCGACCTGGCAACTTATAACGCATGCACCCTGAGGGCTGACGAGAAGATCCTGGAGCTGGAAGAAGAGATAGACAAGTTGCGCTGGAATATCATAGGATTATCCGAGGTCCGAAGAAAGGGGGAAGACACGGTAATCCTCAAATCCGGCAACTTGTTCTATCACCGAGAGTGTGACCATCTGTCCGAAGTAGGTGTCGGATTTATCATCCACAAGTCTCTCGTTAACAACGTTGTAAAGATTGGGAGTGTGTCGACGAGGGTTGCGTACCTTATACTGAGAATCACCAAACGGTATTCGCTGAAGGTCATACAGGTTTACGAACCAACCTCGGCACACCCCGATGAGGAGGTGGAGGAAATGTATGAGGATATCTCTAGAGCCATGCATTCCTCCAAAACCCACTATACGGTGTTAATGGGAGACTTCAACGCAAAACTTGGCACAAGAGAGAACAGTGAACTGCTACGAAATCGTTTTCAGTGCCTAGAAGATTGTAATGCAGTGAACGATATGAATGACAAGCTTGTGGAAACAGTCCATGCGGTCGGAGCTAAGTTTTGCAAGACCCGCCGCAGAAGAACACAAAAACTCTCCAATCACACTCTTAATCTCATGGCTGTTAGACGGGATATGAAGCTGCAGTCTTCAGTAGATGTGACAGCATACAGGCAGCTGAACAGACAGATCTCCAAATGCATGCGGCGGGACTTACGCAACTTCAATACTGCTCGTATTGAAGAAGCGATCGAGCGGAACCAGGGCTCCAAAGTCTTTGCTAGAGATGTCTGACAGAAATAGCCAACTGTTGCAACTGAAGACCGAGTGTGGCAGCATCATTTCCGGGACACCTGAGATTTTGAGTGAGATTGAGAGGTTCTACATATCATCGTTGAAGCCACACGCAAATGTGAGTAACGATCCTAGAGCGAGTCTTATCTGACACTATTCCGATGATATCCCGGAAATCAGTCTAAGCGAGATTAGAATGGCTCTCCAGCACCTTAAAAACGGCAAGGCCCCAGGCTAGGATGAAATTACAGCGGAGCTTCTGAAAGCGGGTGGAAGACCGGTACTTGAAGTCCTTCAGCAGCTCTTTAATTCCGTCATCCGTTGTGGTATTTCACTGGAGGCGTGGAGCAGAAGTACGGTGGTCTTGTTCTTCAAGCAAGGTGACAACGCTCCCTTGAAGAACTACATACCGATTTCCCTTCTGAGTCGCGTCTACGTGCTGTTTTCGAGAGTCATTACGAATCGTCTCGTGTGCAGACTTGACGACTTCCAGCCTCCCGAACAAGCCGGTTTCCGAAAAGGCTTTAGCAACATAGACCACATACATACCCTTCGCAAATGGACAGAAGTCCGAGGAGTACAATTTGTCACTATGTCTGGCATATGTGGACTAAAAGAAAGCCTTTGATACCTTCGAAATTCACTGCAAGCACCGCCCACTGCAGTCCCTTCAGCGATTCCAAGTTGACTGTCGGTATATCGAAGTGCTCAAGTGCTTGTACAGTAGGGCTACGATTGCTATCCGAGTACGGAACCAGAGTACGAAACCTATCCAATTGCAGAGAGACAAGTAAGACAGGGTGCCGTTATATCCCCGAAACTCTTCAAAACTGCATTGGGAGACGTTTTCAAGCTTCTGGACTGGAAAAAATACTGTATTAACATCAATGGCGAGTACGTCACTCACCTTCGATTTGCTGACGATATAGTCCTTATAGCAGAATCGCTGGATGATCTAAGTCTATGCTCAATGACCTCATTACTGTCTCCCAGCATAGGTCTTAAGATGAACATGGACAAAACTAAAGTCATGTGTAACGTCCATGTCACACCTATGCTGGTAGTTGTTGGGAGCAATAAGCTCGAAGTTGTTGACGAGTATGTACCTGAGACAAATAGTCCGATTAGGTAAGTCCAACTTCGACCGAGAGATCAATCGACGGATTCAACTCGGCTGGGCAGCGTTCGGGATATTACAACACATCTTCTCGTCAGATATACCTCAAAACCTCAAAATTAGATCATACAACCAGTGCGTGTTGCCAGTGATGACCTATGGATTTGAGACGTGGCTCACTGCTGGCCGGATGAGGAAGCTCAAGGTTGCTCAATCGCGTGATAAACTTAGAAATGAGGATATCCGCAGTAGAATCAGAGTGACCGACATAGCCAAACGGATTAGTAAGCTGAGGTGGCAATAGGCCGGCCATATAGCTCGAAGAACCGACAACCGATGGGGAAGAAAGGTTCTCGAGCGGCGGCCTCGTACCGGCGGTCGAAGCGTAGGGCGTCCCCACACTAGATGGAGTGACGACCTGGTAAGATATGCAGGAAATCGTTAGATGCATGTGGCTCAGGACGCCTATGTTCAGCAGTGGATTTGTGAAGAGCTGTAATGATGATGATCATGATGATGATGACATACTTATAAGGTACAAAACATTTATTGAACAAGATTATGTTTATTACTACACGAAAAAATACATTTACTTCCACTGACAAATGTTTTCGTGACACTTTCTTTTAATAGATGTTTTCTGTTTTCGATTGTTAAATTTAATTATGTAGTGTTCTCACGGATGGAAGTTGAAGCAAAGAAGAGAGCATGGCTAGATTTACTAGCAACTAAAGCTGATAATTCTGGCGGTATGAATGATGAGATTGAAAGAAAAAAGGCAGACTTTAGACGTATAAATAAGAGAGTAAAAGAAGTTGTTGAAAGGAAAAAGCAAGAAAGGATAGATAAAAATGATAGAAGGATATCTGATAACTTCCAGGAAAATATTAAAATGTTCTGGAACCTCGTAAGAACTGCCAGGGGAAATTCAAAACAGCCTAGAATGAATGCTATACGAGACGAGAATGGCTGCATGTTGAATGATGAAGTTTCGAATTTAAAGAGATGGAAGGAATACTTTGAAAGCGTGTTTAAGAGTGAAGAGTCGTCTGAAATAAGTGAAATAGAAATTCCGGAAGAAGTGGAGAGGGGTAGGGAGATAAGTATAGATGAAATAATGAAAGCAATGAAAAGCATGAAAGCAGGTAAGGCAGCCGGATATGATAGAGTATCCCTCGAAATGCTAAGGGCTGGTGAGGGTGTGGTTGCAGGCCTGCTGTACACCTTGTTTAATTTATGTTGGGAACTGAAGCGGGTACCGGAAGACTGGTGCAAAGCCGTTATAGTCCCAATATATAAGGGAAGGCGGTCGCAGCAGGACTGTAAAAACTACCGTGGTATCAGCTTGCTTAGCATTGTGGGTAAACTGTATGCTAAGGTGTTAATTGAAAGAGTTATGGCAGAAAATGATGGAAAAATTTGGGATGTGCAAGCTGGATTTAGTAAGGGGATGGGGTGTACGGATCAAGTCTTTTCCATGCGCATGATAGCGGAGAAGTTTTTGGCCAAAAACCAGAAAGTTTTTTGTGCGTTCATGGACTTGGAAAAGGCTTATGACAGAGTGGACAGGAATGTGTTATGGCAAACACTGAACTCATTTGGGTTGAGCGCTGGCTTGATACAGGCATTAAGGTCTCTTTATAGGGACTCTAGTGCTTGTGTCAGGATCAACGGGGTCTACTCGGACTGGTTTGGCATTCATAAAGGTGTCAGACAGGGATGTGCGGCTTCCCCGTGGCTGTTTAACTTATTTATGGACAGTTGTTTGCAAACTTTGAAAGTTGAAGAATGTGGGTTGAGAATGGGTGAGTCAACCGTCAAATGCCTTTTGTACGCCGATGATCAAGTCATATTTGCATCGTCGGCGGCAGAGTTGCAAATGATGGTTACTTTAATGAATTGGTCATTGAAAAAAAGGGGTATGAAAGTGAACGCAAGTAAGACGAAAGTGATGGTTTTTGAAAGAGAAGAAAGTAAAACTTTATGTGAAATAAGAATAGAAGGGGAGTTGATTGAGCAAGTGGATGAGTTTGTATATTTGGGATGTTTATTTAGCAGGGATGGTAGATATGATAAGGATATAGAACGACGAGTGAACGCAGGAAATAGAGTGAATGGGGCTCTACACGCTATTATGAGGCGTCAGAATGTGTCAACTAAGGTACGTATGGCAATTCATAATGCTATGTTAGTCCCTACTTTAATGTATGGTAGTGAAAGTTGGGTCTGGCAGAAGAAGCATGAGAGTAGAATAAATGCTGTAGAAATGCGTTCCTTAAGGAGTATGCTAGGGCTGAATCTGAATGACAGGGTGAGAAATAGTGTGATAAGAGAAAAGTGTGGTTTGCAAGATGACGTTGTGACAAGGATTAAGAAAGGAATGCTTCGGTAGTAGTAGTGTAGTTGTACCACTTCTAGACCACCTGAGTCAGACGTGGTTCAACGACGTTCGTCGAAGCCCGATCCTAAAAAAAAAAAAAAAAAAAAAAAAAAAAAAAAAAAAAAAAAAAAGTCATTGATCACCAAACAAAACACAATACGAAGAAATGTTGAGATAGGCAACGGAAATGTGAGATAAACTGATATGTTTCTAAATATTAAATTGCATTTTTGTGTTATACAAATCGTACTTGAGTCATTGATCACCAAACAAAACACAATACGAAGAAATGTTGAGATAGGCAACGGAAATGTGAGATAAACTGGTTGACGCATAAAGTAATTATCAACTCATTACGGAAATACTTTAGATTAGAATTTTTACGTACTGGTGGTATATAAGACCAACAAACGCAGTCATCGAGTTAGTGTACGGTCGTTTGGCTACAGTGGATCTATCAATAGTACATTTGTGTTACTTCAATACACCAAAGGCTATGGATGTAAGTGTTTATTCTATTGACTAAATTACTTTTTTTCTGTTATTTTCATGTGTGTGTATTATTTTATTTAAATATTGTGTATGTATATGATTAAGCCGTGGTAACTCAGATGGTTAGCGCTAGCTGTAAATTTCACAGTACGCGACCCGGGTTCGATCCCCGCCAGCACCAATTAAATTGTTAATAGCAATTTTAAGTGCTTATTACCACGTGCTTGGTGGTGAAGGAAAACATCGTGAGGAAACCTGCATGTCTGAGAAAATTTCGAAGGCATGTGAAGTTCGCCAACACACATTGAGGGAGCGCGGCGGACATTTCCTTGCTCTAAAACCCTCTCAGAAATGAGAGGAGGCCTATGTTCAGCAGTGGACTTTAATAGGCTGTAACTTTAACTTTTTTAACTTTTATGATTAAGTGTTAACAAATTGATATTAACATGATAACTGTGTTGTTGCAGAAATCATTGAGCTTCGATGAAGATACCTATAAACAGTATTACTACTCGCCACTCTCCCCTCAAGAAGAGAGTGATGACCTCGTCATTAATAATAACACATGCGATGGTGGAAAAAGAAAATCGCAATCGATTGATCATTTTTTTGAAGCTGAATCAAAAATAAAAAAGAGGAAGCTGTTATCATCAACCGTAGCACGAGCCGCTAGAGATGGTGTATCATACATTTCTACTAATTCTGACGACGGAGACCAAGCGACGCATCTCATCAAAATTGAAATGTACGATATGAAGAAGCTATCCAAGATTCCAACTACTGATCATTGGAAACATGCTTCCACTAGAATTAAATATTACGTAAAGACTAATAAGGATAGCATCTACGACAACACAAACGCCCTCGTATACAATATAACAAAGACAATAGCAGAAAGTGAAAAAGTTAAAAAATACTTTTTTAACAATGACAGTCATTAGCTGATCATTAGTGAATGTGATTCTGTTTACTTCAATTACAGGAAGACAAGAGCGGAAGGAAGAGATGAGTGTGGCATACGTGTACAAAACACATCATTGAATAACAAAACTACAACACTGAGTGGAGAAGAAAACGAGAAGAGTATGCAGTACTCAAGAGCTGAATATCCATTCTTCAGTTCAAAATCTAGCCGTTTGCTTAGTTTCGAAAACTGGCCTCTAGTTATGCGACAGAAACCTGAAGATCTTGCAGAAGCTGGTTTCTTTTATACTGGCCATGCAGACGGGACCAAGTGTTTCCATTGTGGTGGTGGTTTAAAAGATTGGGAAGATGATGATGATCCTTGGCAGCAGCATGTTCAGTGGTTTAGTCAGTGTGCTTATGTAAAATTTCAACTCGAACAGTGTTTTGTATTAGATTAAATAGAAGATTTATAAAGAAATAAAAAAAAATATATTGCATACAATTTGTTTTATTTAATTTTATAACGTTTCACATAGTTACATACACACAAAATGCATTACACATAACACATAAAATCTAACACACAACACATATTATAACCTTAACTACTATAGTCTACAGTAACATTTCTGTTTTTATCTATCTCAATAATATTATCAAACTCAGCATAAACTATACAGTTAATTGTTTGTATTAATGAGGATTCAAATCGTACTTCTATTCTTACACTACCATGCTTTATGAGATTCCAATGAGTTGATGAGTTAGCTGATAAATCAGGAGTTAAGTCAAATGCTAATAGACAGTAACCTTTGCCATACTGTTCACAAGAGATTCCATTTCCTTCATTAAGAAAGTGAATACCAGTTCCCGAGAATAGAGTATGATATGCTGATGTAAATATGCTATTATTAAAAGATGGTTGCAAAGCTTTTGAAGGTATTTGTTGACCATCAATATATAAGCTGAAAGAATTAATACCATAGTTTTCAAAGTTAAATGGATTTTTAGTAAGGGAACCATTAAATGCAGAATTGTTCACAAATCCAATTATACATCTTTTCGGTACCTGTCCTAAAAATATATTATCAAGAGTTTTTCCTTGAACACCCGAAGGAATTGTTAAAACTTTTACTTCAGCTCGAGTAATAGGATATTTAGCAGTGGTAGAAGCTAAAACTTTTTGATGTGCGAGTAATACACTTGAATTAATTCGTGCTCGTCGAACAATAAGAGTTGCGTCCGTAATACAAACTTTAAACTTTACATCGTTTGATCCAACAATTAAATTAAAACTCTCTCTTGATCGAACCAATTTAACACTCATTTCAACACCATTAATTAAAAATTTATCTTGGTTAAAAATGTCACCGTGAAGATGACCAATCATTTCTATTTCCTTACTTTCACTAATCAATTCCTGTCTTTTAACAAATCCTATGTTTTTACCATCTGTAGAATCCATTTTTCCTGCTGTATCCTCATACCAAAGACTACAAGTAAGATGAGATTGTTTAGCAGCAGGGGCATAGTTTAAAAGGGTTTCCATGTATGCTCGATATGCATAGGTATTATTAGGTGGTGATACAAGTTTTTGGTTTAAATAAACATCAAGTTGACTAAAAAGTGAATGCAGCCAATTATTTACAGGTGCTACTATTGTAGTAGATACCAAGTTAGTTGAATCTTGATTTAATACTTTTGCCTTTATGTGGAGTAATGTATGAGACAAATCTATGTAGTCATCGCCGGTCCCAGGAACTTGAAACTCGATAGGTCCATCATCACCAAGAGATGAAATTGGTTTATAATGAATCCACAATCCATTTTCAATGCTAGTTTGTGTAGACGGTAGTGCAAACAAATCCAATTCTGACTTAACGCACTCGCAAGAATGATTATGAAGGAAAGACATATTTAGTTTGAAAATATATCTTTGATATTTTTTGGTTTTAGACTAAGTTTTTTCGCAGCTTTCACTTTAGCAGTTAATGGTGGAATGAACGATGTCAATCGTTTTCTTTTAGTTTTATACCCAGATCCAGTCATGTTAAATTGATCAATTTTCTCATCAGCCTTTCGTTTTAAATTCGTACTAACTTGCTTTAGACGATCTTTTATTGAGGCTTCCATAGGACGGGCTTGAACCATATCCGATAAAAGTCCTACTCCAGCGCTTAATGCCTCCTTACCAATCACTCGAGCACCACTTGAAAGTAAAGGTAAAACTGATCTGAATAACCCCCCTAAGAAACTCCCAATACCATGACCGCGTTGATATGGTGAACCCTTATAAATTACTCCAACTCCTGATCCAGCTTGATGTGTATAATAATTTTCATATGGACATTTATGATGATCACGAAGAGAATTCATTATTATAATTTTCGGAAATGTAGTTTAATACACACGGTTCCAAACTGGAATGGTATTTTTTGTCCTGTACTCGATCTTATAACTATTTCCAACGTATCGAACTCTCTTCGCATAACAGGTAAGTAGTGAGGTTGAGAGAAAACGTGCATTTTATTTGCACCATAAATGTATTTTGTAGGATCTAATGAAATGACTCTTAATAAAGGAGTCATAACATCACCCACAATCTGAGGATCGATAATGTCGCAATATAGAAATAGTTGAGATGGTAACCCTAAGTGTAAATTAGCAGGACACTTTCCAAAATTTCTCTCTAGGAGATTTTTATTTGGTTCATAACCTAGCTGTAAACTTAATTTGGGTGATAATGTTATTTCATCATAGCGAAATTTCAAGTTCTCTCCGATACCATTTAACACTCTTAAAATATGCTCAACGTTATCATAGTTGGTAGCTGGAATATGTTTTTTGTAGTACACTGTGGATGGCTTATCTTCATTAGGCATTAACATAGATTTTGTAATGTATATAACATTTTCATGGTCTTGAACAGTAAACATGGTACATGGATATTGAAACTCGACAACTCCAACCGACCATTCACCTTCTAATTTTATAGCTTTTGGTAATTTCGTTGAAAAATTTGTGGTCTTGTTATCAGGAAAGTATTCCATTGAACTATTGCTGAGCAATGTTAAATAGAAACTTTCTTTATTCATATTTCTTTTAAACTAGAAGCTAAAATCCAACTGTTAAATTTATCTGGATAACCTTTCCACTTCACTAATACTTCTTTTCTGTTACCTGAATAACGAGTGTCAATTATTTTATCTATTTTATGTTGTGAGGTGGGGTTGTAAGTGATTTTCTGTAATTCTCTTTCATAAAAAGTACCAATTATTGGTTCATTTTGTAAATCTGTTATTGTATAAACAACCCATGGAGATCTATCAATTATTGAAGATATAATAAATATTTCATCGCTCCAATTTGATTCATATCCTTTTTGGAATACATGTTTATATTTAGTTATTCGAACATAATCACCCACATTGAAATTTGGTTTAGGATTTTCTAAAGAAAGTTTTTTTGACCGTCTATCATAAAGATTAGTCCAAACTGTCATAATATTGTTGGAATTTACATCACATGGGCACATCTTAATACTAGAGTGAAAGCTGTGATTATAAGAGTATATTAAATCTTGTAAAACATCTATATATCTATAAGTATTATTATGAGTGAAATAACGCCACATTTTCATTTTTAGTGTTCTTTGAAATCGTTCAACAATACTGGCCTTAATGTCAGGATTGTTAGTGGTATAGTAATTAATCTTTTTGGATTTAAAGTATTTTTGTACATCTTTTGAAACAAATTCGGTACCTTTATCGGATTGTATGTGAGTAGGTGTTAAATTACTTTCAGTAAATATACTTTCAAAACATTCTTTAGTTGTTTCTGAGTTTTTCTTTTTCATTGGTCTTGCAAAAGCATATTTACTAAATACATCAATAATACAAAGTATATACTTGAAACCATCATTATATTGAGAATAAGTTCGCATATCACTTAAATCAGCTTGCCACAGTTCATTAATATTTGATAGAATGTACCTATTACGCGGGAATTTTTTTCGAATGGGTTTATGTAATGTGTATGTTTCTTGTGATTTTAACCATTCCTTTACTTGCTTTTTATTCATTTTACCCTTCATGGCTTTTGATAATTTATCAATACTACCAAAACCAGCGGGATTAGATGGATCATAATAAATCCTGTTAATTTCTTCTAGTACGGAGTCCATTTTTCCCACTCAAGTCCTTTACGTATTTTAGTTGTAGACTTTTTATCTCTACTGCACGGTGTAGAAAACTCTTGAACTTCAATCTCAGAGGGTTTGTTCAGATCTTTTGCTTGAAGTTGGTTAATAAACTCACATCTCCTTGGATTTCCAATATAAGTAAGTGGTACTTTAATATCTTTTAATGCTTCAGCAAATCTAACCCACCCTACCGGATCACTTCTTTTTAGGGGTCTTAGTGAATCATTTATTAAATCAACAATATTACTTCCAGGAATTTTTTCACTATCAATTATGACTGTACCTTCGTTATCCCAATGTATTTTACTTTTACTTGTTTCAACTAAGTTTAATAATAACTGCCCTTTTTTATGATAAGTTTTTGGTATTAAACTGAGTATTTGAGCTGGTGTGTAAAGTGGATTTTCATCATTTTCTTTACTTTTAATGGATCGATTCTCCTCCAGCAAAGATTCAATATCAACTGAAGTTTTTAGATCTCTATCTTTATTTTTAAAACCAATTTTTGACTCATTTGAATCTTCATTAGATGTATCAGAATAAATTGGTAATTTGAGTGGTTGACGATCCTCTTCGGTAAAATGAAGGTATCTTTGCAGTGTTTGTAAATATAATATCCATTTCTTTCGGTCTTCCGTCTTACTATTCATAATATTTTGCATTTCAATATCTAATCGAGATAAATTACTATTAACCTTATTTTCTTGTTTTAATTTTTCAATCAATCCAGGTTCGATAAGTATCATTTTCTTTGCATTTTCCATGTTAACTGGCTAGTCCACTCACTAATCCACTCAATATTGCACCTAATATTGTTGGTAAGAAAGCCCCTCCTTTTTGTATAATTATATTTTTTCTTAGTTTATGTTTACACTTACGTACTAGTTTACGGAGTATGTTTTTATGTTCATTCAATTTTTGTTTATCCTGATCTTTAAGAGGTACTTTTCCTTGTAAAACGTTATGAATACAATCACAAATACAGTTAATTTCTTCTTCATCACACGTTTTAAGTAATGCTCTTTGATATTTTGGTTTAAGCGTATGCAAAGCGGTTAGCAAATGTTTATACGTTGTGAGTCGACGATGCATCATTTAGCAATGATTTCAATTGTTTGATTCTTGGTGTATTTAAACTCTTTTGTGGGGACGTAGACTGTACAGAAACCATTAAATGGAAAGACATTTGTCTTGATACGACAAAAATCATTGGTATTCTGTTTTAAATCTACCAATAAATATCCATGCGCCTCTAGAGTTGCATCCCTGTAGGCATTTTCAATGAATTTTGGGTTATCTGGTGATACTTGTCTTGCTAAATATCTTATTTGAGTTTTATCTCGAGGGTTTTTAAAATATATTATATAACTTGAGTTTAAAGATATGTCTCTTTGTCCTTTACCCTGATGAAATAAATTTTGTGTTAGATAAAATACACTAAGATTCCTGTGATGACTACCTTTTGTAAATATATCCACAATTCTTCCATCGGACTCTCTCATTAGATCATCAATAATAACAAGATGTGGGTTTTCACCATCAAACATATTAAGATTTGGAATTCCTTGATGATAGTTAACATTTGGTAAATTATATAATGGTTGCATTTCATCAAAGCACCATGTGATCTGATTAAAATCACAATTACATATTTCTGTAACTGATTTTATGAAATTTGTTACAAAATTTGACTTCCCACACCCACTTGGTCCTGCCACAATAGCAGTGAACGGATGGATAAAGTGAAACATAACACACGTCTAAAGTTCAAAGGGGTGAAATAAAAAATGAAAGTGTTGGTGTAAACAATTAATATATATTCCAAAAATTATATAAAACAGAATTATCTGTATACTATTTCTAACACAATTAGTACATCATAATTTTACAATTAACTCAACCTCAAATAAATAGAAACAACAATTAGTACATCATAATTTTGCAATTAACTCAACCTCAAATAAATAGAAACAACAATTAGTACATTATAATTTTACAATTAACTCAACCTCAAATAAATAGAAACAACAATTAACTTAAATTATTTACAATAAAACAATGTTTAAATATGTAATAAACTACGTCATATTATAGTATTATCATAATTTTACAATCAATATAAATTTTTCTTAAACGCAGACATAAAAGTAAAAACTATCAACACTTAACGCAGTTTATAATGACCCCAAGCTAATGTTTCAATATTATTATCTAAAATATGTCTCTTTGTGTCATTATATGATAAACCTATCTTATTTAATTTTTGTGTGAAAATTGTGTGTTTAATTGATTTAAATCTAAGCATACTATAATATTGCACTTTTTTATTAAATAGAGAAGACTTATAACTATTCATTGTCATCTTTTTAGTGATACATTTATTTACCCCTTTTGCCTTGGCTATAGTCTTATTCTCTAAGTTAAAAGCGTACATTTTGGATCGTAAACCCACAAATTCTTTCATGATTTTACCATTATTTTCATCTTTAAAAAAACCTAATTTCTTTTTATTTAATTTTGGATATTCAAAAATATTATTTGTATCATAATCTGAGGTATCAAAGTATGATGAAAGGTCAGGTTTTATATCAGTGTAAAAATCATTTGTAAATATATGATATATTAAACTATCCGTATCTGTATACAATAATTTGATTTTACTAAACTTTTTAATCATATAGTTATAATGAAAATCATACATTAATGTTTTTGAAATATCTAAAATGCAAAACCCTAAATAAATTGGTTTGTTATATATTAACTTCGTTTTTCGCAACTGAACCGCAACTAGGTTTTCCGAAAATATTGAAAGGCTATGAAATTGTGGTTTAGCGATT